ACGGCGTCACACGCGGCCTGGGCGTGGCGCCGCACATCGTCCCACGCCTGCTGGCCAGCGGCCTGCAGCTCTGCCTGGCGCTGCGTGTGTGCCCGGATGAGTTCCGCTATCTGCGACGACGGCGAGGTGTTCATGCCGTCATGTACCTCATCGTAGCTGTTATTGTTCCTGCGGCTGCTGCCCCTGTCGGCTTCGCTCTCTACAGCTCTTTCGCAGGCCGCCGTAGCCGTTGTGGGAGACAACTGTGGCTGCGTTACGGGTGGAGGGCTGCTGATCTCCGCAGCAACTGGCGCACCGCTGTTGTCCCTCGCTGACATATTGCTGTAGACTTCACTTATTTGTGCACTGACGCAAGGGCGCTCCACCCGCGCCCATCCTTCACGCCAGCAGTGCGACAACAACGAGAAGGAAGAGAGGAGGAGGAGGAGGAGGAGGAGGAGGAGGATGGGTAAAACGCCACAGCAGACCAATCCAGAGCAGTATGCCCGGTGAGAGTGCACCTGTCGTGTGTGTGTGTGTAGACATATGCGTGGTATGTCACTTGATTTTCCTTCCTGTTAATATAGTATACGGTGAGGTGCCCTCCTTCCTTCCTTCACGCATGCACTCTTCACTCCTTTCCGTTCCTTTTTTCTCCGCTTTACACGTACTCTCTCTCTCTGTGTGTGTGTTTGGCTGTCTTCTGCCTATCCCTCACCTGCGGTGCGGCGTTGGTGTCTGGAGCGGGTTGACGAGCGGTGCTGTCCCCACCACGGGCACGCTGTACGGGAGCAGGTCGTCGATGAGGTCGATGTGCGACAGAATCATGCGGCGGCAGCAGATGCGGTCGAGGTGCAGCGCGTTGAGGGCCTCCGCCTCGGTGTAGTCCTCGCTGAGCAGCTGCTGGTACGTCTCGTAGAGATGCCCAATCACCTTCCCGCAGGAATAGCAGCGGACAGGGATTAGCATGACGACAGCGGTGGTGGTGGTGGTGGTGGTGGTGGTGCTAGTGGGCTAAGAGGGGCTGATGGGAATGGCGGCGTGGCGTCCAGCTCAACGTGGCGTTGTTGGCACGACACTCACACACAAACGCGCGAAAACAAATGACGAGTGTCCTTCCCACTGCCGGCTGCTGTGTGCATGCATGTGTGTGTGTGTGGCAGGGAGGAGAAAGAGGGGTGAGAATAGCAGTGAGACGTGCGGGTGCAAGAGAGCACGTACAAGGCACCAGCCGTGGAAGAGATAGAGAGAGAGAAAGAGAGCCGTGCACAACAAGGAGTGGAGCCTCGCAATCCCTCCGTACTCTTCTCCTTCCAGTTTTGTTTTGTTTGATTCTTTCCTCAGCCAACTCGCGGGTGCACGAAACGCCGCAGCCGCGCGCCCCTCCCAAACAAAAAAAAAAAGAATAACAAGACGCAATCGCCATTCCAGATACGCGGCGACCCCTCACCCTCTACCTGCCTGCTCTACTCTGCCCCAGCAACAACAGTAGTAGTAGTAGGAGTAGTAGTAACAGCTGCAGCTGCCCACCCTCGCTCCTTCTATGCGTGTAAATGTGGGTATACGGTTCTCCCCCGTCGAATCTTGCTATCATTCGTTTCTTCTGTCTCTCTTCCCCCACCATCCCTGACTGCCTGCCTCAGACTTTCACTTTCTCTCTCTCTCTCTCTCTCTCTCTCACTCTCTCTCTCTCTCTCTCTATATATATATAACGCCCCACCACCACCACCACCTCTTTAGCCGAGTGTTACAGAAAGTAGTCGGGTGTTTTCTTCGACACCTGCGCCTCGCCGCGGCGTGGGGCGGGGTCGAACTGGAAGAAGCACTTGTTCATGTGCTCGTCGAGCTCCAGCAGCCCCGCGAGGTTGCCGCAGCGGTAGCAGTAGTTCGGCGCGCTAAATATGGTCACGAGCCTGTCGTTGTGCGCCCAGCTGTAGCCATCTGTGACGAGCTGGTGCGCGCGTGCGATCATCTTGAGCCCGTTGTTGTGGCAGAACTGCTCCGATATGTCGGCGCCGAAGGTGAAGCCGGCACCGCGCGGGCTGATGCCCCAGCCGTCGCGGTCCTCCGGGTCCGACCACAGCAGATCGCACATCGGGCCCTCGTGCGGCACCTCCTGCACGCGCTCGAGGCTGCGGATGTGCGCGAGGCTGTCGAGCGTCGGCGAGAGGCCGCCGTGGAGACAGAAGATCTCGTTCTCCACCACCGCCGCGAGGGGGAGGTAGTCGAAGAGGTCCGTCAGCAGCTTCCACACATTGGCACTGCCGTACTTGCGCACGCACTCGTCGTAGAAGCCGTACACCTGTGTGATCTGCCGCGACTCGTGGTTGCCGCGGAGGATTTGCACGCGCTCCGGGTAGCTGATCTTGAAGAGCAGCAGCAGCGTCACTGTCTCCACGCTGTAGTAGCCGCGGTCCACGTAGTCGCCCATGAACAAGTAGTTTGTGTCGGGCGGGAGACCGCCAATCTTCAGCAACTCGAGCAGGTCGTGGAACTGGCCGTGAATGTCGCCGCAGACCGTGACAGGCGCCCGCACGGTGTGCACGTTGCCCTCCTTCTCCAGCACCTCCTTGCCCTTCTGGCACAGCTGCGCCACCTGCGGCTCGCTCAGCGGCTTGCCCTGCAGCACATACTCAATCATCTCGTCCACGTTGAAGCTACTCGGCTCCGCCGCCAGGCTGGGTGTTGTTGTTGTCGTCAGCATCCCCGAAGCCGATGGCATGTCCACTCGCACTTTTCGCTCCTACTGGTGTTGTTGTTGTTGATTTTTGTTTTGTTTGTGTTTGAGGGGGAAGTTTTCTTCCCTTCGGTTTGATTATAATACTTCTGGTTTTTTTTGGGGGGGGGTTCTTTTCTTTTTTTACTAGTACTGCGTGTTACTTGTACTGCAAAAGGCACGGTTCTGTTGAATGGTATTAATAAAAATAATAATAGATGCAAACGGCGATGTAGATAGATAGATAGATAGATATATAGAGAGAGAGCCGTGTGACTGACAGGAGCATCGAAGAGCTCCACGGCGGCAGTCGGAGTGCATGTGTGAATAGATGTACAGAAAATCGGGGAGAGAGCCCCCTTCCCGCACCATTGCATGTATGTGCGGTCCCAACATCACACCTGGCAGACACACACATAGCCACATAGCTACACAGCTACATAGCTACACAGCTACATAGCTACACAGCTACATAGCTACACAGCTACATAGCCACATAGCCACATAGCCACTCTTTCTCACCCTTCGCCTCTCCCGCCCTATCCCACGCAAGCACGCAGAGGATGTGCATTAGGGAAACGCAGTCAGGGGGGGAGGGGTGCTTGACTCAAGGCACGTAACGCCATGGAGTCCCCCACAGAAACTATAAGAGAGACAGATGTTGAAAGCAGCAAACAAAGAGGATACGGCGCACCATCACTTGCCCGCAGAGCACCACCCCTCCGCATTAAGCGTCTGACGGCACAGAGACACACAGAAAGAAGCAACGACAACAACAACAACAAGTAAATAAATATTTAGAGAGTCTATGAGGACGGCACTCTGTGCACCCGTGAAATGGCGGGACGGTGTGTCAAGGAGCAACAAGCGCTTCGCAGGCACGGAGCCACCAGAGGCACTAGATCAGGGCAATCTCCAGCGCCCCCGCCAACGCCCGCACGGCACGCAGCACGACGGCGAAGGGGAGAAGCCCGGCCGCCCTGTTTGCCGCAGCGCTGCGAGGAATAACCCAAAGCGCCATCGCCACCGCGCCGAAGAGCGCCTCAACCACATCTGCCCGCTGCTTCCTCCCGGAGATGTTGTATACCACACTCAAGTACTCGCACAGCTCCTCCGGTAGTTGACGAGCGAGTACGGCGTTCGACGTGCTCTTGACGACCGGGCCGTGCGACCACTCTGCGAGTTTCTCCTGCGCGGCGACGAAGTCCAGCACCGCGTCGCCAAGGTACTCCAGCGCCTCGTTTTTTCCCGGCGTGATCGCCAGCTGGAGTTGTTGTCGCAGGCTCTGCAACAGCGACGTCTGTTGCTCCTCGGGTAGTTCGTTGAAGACCAATGGTGCGGGCGGGAGGCGGAGGCTGTGCTCTACTGGTGTGATGAACTCGCGCTCAACAACATCCACGATGGACGGCGACGCATTAAGCACCCACTCGTCCACGAGCACCTCCACGGATTGCAGCAGTTCACCGCCATTCTCACGGCATCGTAGCGCCTCTTCTTCACTGAGCCCCACCGCCACGTAGCTCTTCATCCCCTCACTGTTTTCGCTGTTATTGCCATCTCTGTTGAACGGCACCACCAACACCGCGCGGCAGCGTCTTGCCAGCCCGTCCGAATCCGTCTCTGCGTGCGTGCCCACGTCAAGAGCATGTCGTGGAAGCAGCAGCAACATCGGCGTCATAGGGAGCGCTTTGGCACTGTTCTCGTCGCCATTCGGGCTAGCCTCAAAGTACACCGTGAATAATTGCTGCTTGTGCTCTGCTGAAGCACGCACGGGGCCAAAGTGGCCCGCCCTGAGCTCCGCACGCAGCTGTTTGATCGCCGCGGCGCGGCCGTGCAATGCACTGCCAGTGCTGCACCGCTTGCACGGCAGTACAATCGACAGCGCGTCGAACTCACCAGCTGCGGACGCAGACGCCCAGTTCTGTACAGCCGCGCTCCCAGCCAGCCATCTGCTGCAGAGAGTGGCGAGGGGAATAGCGCGCATCGCATTAGCCGCCAACGCGCATTCTCGCATAGTAAAACGCAGCAAGCTACGGGCTTCTGCAGCGTCAAAGTGAACAACATTTGGCAACGCCGCTACGTCGATGGTAGTGGCCTCCGTACTTTTGTCATCCACGGTCGTCAATCCCTCCAGTTGGATAAACTGCGGCGTTAAGCAACAAGGGGCCGTGTTGTTGACACCACCATTCACGCCGTGTTTCGTCCCTTCCTCATTTTCCTCAGCATTGGCGCTCGTCTCTCCAACACGCAGCGCCTCGACGGTGATGTCGGGGGAGGTGCCGTCGCCGTACAGCACAGCAGCGTGTACGATGGACATGTCTGGGCCCGGCCTTCTGACGAATTGCTGGAGTATCTCCCCCAGAGGCAGTAGTAGCGCCGCCGCCGCTGAGGGCATATCAGGTTCCTGACACACCACTCGCACACAGCGGTCGAGATGCCGCTCCAAAAATGTAGGCGATATGCGGACAAAAGCTGACTTTGACGTCACATTGTTTGCCGCCAGCGCGGCTGCCCACAACGTCTCCTCCTTGTTATCATTGTTAGCGTCCCCTCGATGCAGCAGCGCATCACCTGGTACAATACGAAAGAAGGAGTGAACGGCAAAAACCTGGCGCCCGCCGTGTTTCTGTACAGCACGCCGCCAACGTTCTATGTCCTCTACAAATTCATAGCACGCAGTACCAGGGGCCAACAGGGACAACGCACGCCGAAGGGACATGAGTGGGTGGCTAATGAGTACATCTGCGCTGACTGCCGCATCACGATGTGCCCACACCGCACGCACGCGCCATGTCTCACCCACACCTGTTTCTGCTTCACCTGCCGCGGTAACAGCGTCAGTAGCTTGGCTGAACTGCAGACGCCCCAGCAGATCGAGAGAGCGAAGCGATGCTATCAGTTGCCACGGCGTTGTGGGCAGCTGCACCGCCTCGGCGTGCGCCACACCATCATCATGCAGGCAGTCGCATTTGTCCCCTTGTAGGTGGGCAAAGAGCTCCTCCGCGGGAATCCACCCCTGGCTACATTGGCTCGCAGCAAACTGTACTTGACGTGCGTACTGTACCGCATTTTGGTACAACTTTGTGAGCTGCTCCAGAAGCGGCTTGTCAATAGATGCGCTAGCAGCAGGCATGGGCGCGGGCCCTGCTCCTGCAGCATTTGCTTCGGTCGTGTCGGACAGCTCAACAGGATCGTGAACAGGTTCAGCACATTCGTTTGCATCCCTCAACTGACGCTCCTGGGCTTCATGTTGACGGTATTCATTGTACTTCTTTTTGAAGTACGGCTCAAGCGCCGCCTCGCACGCATCGAAGCCGCTCTTCAGCCACATGCGCCCGAGTAGCTGCTTCCATATGCTCTCGGCGGCGAACAGATCGGTGCCTGGTGGAGCATAGCCCCTCACCAGCGATTCCTCTCCGAGGAAGTCGTGCCGCCACAGCTCGCTATGAATGCGTGATAACTCGCCCGCTTCCGTTATGCCCTGGCGGCTAAGAAACAGCGCGAGTGCGAGCTTGACCACCCAGCGACCGCGGCGGCTGGCGACGACATTTGGACTGCGCTTTTTTTCGGAATGGAAGCACTCATTGTCTGAAGCAGACATCACAAAAAGACGCTAGAGAGTTGTTGACCTACGCGAGGAATCCGATACGTGGGAGCGGAGAGAAAACAAAGATTATAGCCGTGGTAGTAGTGGTGATCGTGAAGCCTCGGGTGGTTAGGGGAACAGAAAATACAGCACCCACCCTTCGTCAGGTAAAGCCACAAGCTCACATCACCTCACCAACTTCAAGCGTTTAGCCACTCTTCTGCGTTGAACTCCGTCAACTGCAGCACACTCTCGCACAAATTGCTGAGGCTGTTGGTGTTGTTGCTCTGCTCACCACCCGGCACACGCCGATCATGGCGGGCACCGACAGAACCTTCATTCTCCCACAATGACGCGGGTAGCGAGACGGACATTTCATTTTCGTCACTATACGGCGGAGCCCCGTCGAAGGAACGTGCCTGCTGCGCTGCCGTACTATCCTCGCCATCACGCTGCCTTTTCCGTCCTCGCTGTGTCACCTTGCGCCTCCCCCGCCGTTCTGCGAGGCTGTTGGCCTGAATGCGCTGCAGCCGCTCCGCCAGCGCCGACTCCATCTTCTCCCTCCGTTGCCGCTCCGCCCAGCGCCTCTCCATCACGGCACGGCGCTTCAGGTCGTACACCAGCGCCCCCCACATCAGCGGCTCNCTCCGCCCAGCGCCTCTCCATCACGGCACGGCGCTTCAGGTCGTACACCAGCGCCCCCCACATCAGCGGCTCGTCGCACAGCGGGCACGGGCACGGCAGGCGCGGCAGCAGTGTCAAGCCTGACGGCGCCAGGGGCGGTGGCGAGAAACATTGGCTATCCCCCTGGCGTGAAGGTGTGGCACAACGGGTGTCATGAGTGCAGGAATCATTGTTGTTGTTGCTGTTGCCGTTGCTGTCAATGTTCCCTTGGCTTACGTTTACGCTGTTTATATGAAGAGCCGCAAGAGGACGCCCTCCCACTACTGAGCAGCCACCCTGTTCGGCTGTCTGCCCCACCGACTCCGCAGCTGCTATTACTGCCGCTGCTGCTGTTGTTGGTTGTGGTGGCGTGGCTCGCTGCTGCATTACATTGTACGTGAACCACAGCGAGAGACATGCCAAGTGTGCCCGCAGCCCACAGAACGGGGTGCGCAAGCAGCGCACAAAATATGGCGCCCGAAGTGGCAGGGTGCACAACGAGCAAGGGTAATGGCCCGACTCCAGCAGCTCCTTCTCCCTGGCATGCTGCCGAAGAACGTCATCCTCCGAGAGATACCTGCAGCTCGTCGTTGGCCAGTCCATAGCGTCTGCAGTGGGCTGGCTGCCATTGGCCTGTGCCGTCAGGAAGTACGCGCATCCGCCCGCCGCCCCGTCGCCTCCCTCCGCCTCGTCAAGGTACTTGGCTTGAAACTCCTCCTTCGTTATTTCCTCCAACTGCAACAACGGCGTCCCCGAAATCCGCTCCAC